ACATGTTTTAAGCTTTTCCAGTATAATTCTCACAAACTGGTTAACCACAGGTCTTTGTTCACTGAGCCTCGTTTAAGCAGAGAACCTTTTGAAGGGCGTTCTGGATTCCCGTCTCAGAGATGAGATGTGGAGGGGGGGGGGGGTGGAACGCCAAACCAGTAACAGAAATTTAACCAGTGGAACTGAAGTTGAAAGGTGGGAAGAAGACTCCTGAAATCATGGGTGCAAGGAGGCAGTTTCGATGTGTTGGACAGAAAAAAAGTTTGAAAGGCTAAAAACAAAGACCTGGTTAGTGAGGAAAGGGGATTTTGTTTTGCCTTTTCCCGATTAAAAAGAATAAAGGAGATGGCACCGAGGGTAAAAGAATGACGTATTTCTAACCGCAGGCAGACAGAAAGGGGAGAGGGGAGGCAAGAGAGAGAAAGAAGGACAGAAGGACTTTCAACATTCGTGTTTTTTTTTAAGAGTAGTGCGGAAACCATGTTATTTCGAAAGATAAAAAAAGGGTGAAAAATACCGCCCGCCTTTCAGGGCAGATTCTTTTTGACGCTTCGTGTCTCCTATAGAATACGAAGAGGGTGCGCTACGTCCTCCAAGGCGACAGAGTGGCGCTCTTTTCTTTTTGAGGCGTTAATGCTTAGACGGGAAACTCGCGAAGACTTCCCGGGCAAGTGCCGGCAAATATGGAGCGGGCGGGCGAAAGGACGGCACGTCCGCTGACAGGGTTCGATGAAGAAAGCTCCGCTCCGGTCCCTGAGATGCTCGGATCACTTGAGGGCTCGCCGCCTTGGCTGCAGTCCCCGGACTCGGGCTGGGAACGACTTCGAGAGCTCTTTCGGCGGGAGTGAGTGCATAGCCAAGAAGAGCCAAGGCTACTTGGAGCTCCAGTGGGTGGCGGGGGGAAAACGTGTATAATTCAAAAATGAAATGCTTTTTTCGAAATCCTTGCATATCCCAGCAATTATTATTCCAAAGGACATGGATAATTTCATAAAACAGTTCCTGAATACATTTCCTGAAACATTTTTTTTGCAGCGAACACCGGAAATTCCCAGAAGAATCTATCTATATCATTAAAACAACATTTACAGCGGGTCTTGTTGGCTTCGTCTATGGCGGTATACCTGGATATGTAAATGCCAAAAAACAGTACATTGAGCAATGTGGGGGAGAACTCTACCATAATCGGCTGGATGCTGTGGTATGGACACACATTTTGACAAAAATAGAACATATTTAAGTGTAATCCTTTAAATAGTTTTCATTTTTTTTCTAACTTGCTGCCTTGTTTATGAGAAACAAAAATCAGAAAACAAGCACTACAGAGGGACATTACAGAGGGATATATTTTCACTGACAACATTTTTGAATGAAATGTGTGGCAAATCATATATTAAAGAATACATTCTTTTAAATATTCAATATTAATAAATATATTAGTATGTACATTACTTTCCTTCTTAGTATATTTATGGTATTAAATTCAGTTCACAGTCAGTTAACAGTTAAACTGTCTTTGGTGATCAGGTGTATGTAATGTTATGTAACTTCCAGTAATGGAAGTTTGGATGGGTATACATTACTTTTACAAAACACACAGAACAGAAAGTTGTGTAAGGAATTTATGGAGCTTTGTGTGGTTTCTATTATCACACTTTGAATTCACATTAGTAATGGATATAGCATGCCTTAACATCATATAATTTTGCTTACTTTCTCCAAAGCAATCTATGCAACGTACAGCAAACAGGGGATTCATCCGATATGGTTGGCGGTGGAGCTGGAGAGTTGCTGCTTTTGTGACAATATTCAAGCAAGTGTATTTTTGTTACCTATGGGAGATGAGCAGGAGGCTGTGTTCATGATGGATGATCCTACAATTCAACAATAACCTACAATTCTAGGATAATATTGTAATAATATTATAATATATGAATATTAGATATAAAATGGTTACTGTTCCCCTTCTACTGTTTCTGCATTTCTAATTCTCTTTTATTTTCTCAGCAGCGTATTTCTATTCTCAAATACGCTATTGAGAAAAATAAAATTAAAATAGAACTAAGGAAGACTCAGGGCTTGGTTATGTCTTATGCTTTCAAAAAGAATTTTATAATAGTTCCCTTCCAAAACAAAAAATAAAACAAGAGGGTCAAAATCAAGAGAAT